TTGGGGGATGTCGCAACTCTTGAATCCCACTGTGCTAAACGTAATCGCATTACCCTGGCGCGACTTAACGGGGAACACTCGATCTAATATTTTCCAACCACCCAATCAAAAGAGAAATGAAGACCTCCCCACATCATTCTTCCCCGAACGAGGAACTCGGGTCTCTAGTACACCGTCGTCCGTGATGCTTCACAGCATGTGCCACTCGCACATTTCCGGGCTGTCGCACAGGGAGAATCGCTGATGGCCGTGCAGCTGCACAGGTGGCAGTGGCCGTTCACTCCCACGCACACCCGTCCTCAGCCTCTCACAGTTCCTTGTGCGTGCCATAGCACTTTCCGTTGGTTGTTGCGCAGTGCTCCGATGGGCGGCACCCGGCCGCGTCGCTGCACGCCTCCAGGTCGCCCTCAAACACCCCGCAGTACCCGCCATCGTCGTTGCTGTTGCTTCCGCACACGTCCGACCACGCGCACCCGGCGCTCATGCACCCGGCGCTCATGCAGGCATCGCTCATCTGCAAATGCCCAGCAGCAACAACCAACGACAACACACAGGGCAGGGCAGAGGCAAGCGCCATTGTCAGCAGCATCACCAACAAAAACCACACCCATTGACAAAGCAACACATGTCTCCGTTTCCCCGTCACACCACACTGCTCCCTCCCTCCCCACCCCAAACCAACACACATGCACCAAAGAGCACCATCACAGGCACCATCACAGGCACCAAAGAGCACCACTGCGTACCGTGAATTGGTGGCAGTCGTGCACGCCAATGTAGCACCGCTTGTTGACAGAGCTCCACAGGCACACGTCCGTGGCCCGGCACTCGTCCTGTGCCAGCGGCGCACACCGGTCCCTGTCCGCCGTCGGCTGGCACGCTTGCTCAATCATGCACTTGTCGTCCTGTTCGCACTGCCCAGCCGTCAGCTGCCGGCACTCGTTTGTGTCGTAGCACCCTGTCTCGCACTCAACGACAGCCGCAAACTGCTTCTCCTCCTCAGCCGTCATCGTCGCTGTGCTGCGGCACTCCTTGATGCAGCTGTCTGCGCCGTTGTCGCACTCGCCCCGGCGCGCCTTGGCCAGCACGCACTGGAACGTCACGTTGCATCCGCCCGTGCAAAGGGAGATGACGTCCTTGCACACGTACTTCTCGCAGATTGAGGAACCGGGGCTCTGGCCGCCGTCGTCCGCGCTGCTGCAGTGCATGTGCCACTCGCACGAGTCCTGGCTGTCGCACTTGGTGGCGTCGCTGATGGCCGTGCAGCTGCGCAGGTGGCAGTGGCCGTTCACGTCCCACGCACACCCGTCCTCAGCCTCGCACAGGTCCTTGTCCGTGCCAGTGCACTTTCCGTTGGTTGTTGCGCAGTGCTCCGATGGGCGGCACCCGGCCGCGTCGCTGCACGCCTCCAGGTCGCCCTCAAACACCCCGCAGTACCCGCCATCGTCGTTGCTGTTGCTTCCGCACACGTCCGACCACGCGCACCCGGCGCTCATGCAGGCATCGCTCATCTGCAAATGCCCAGCAGCAACAACCAACGACAACACAACAACCAACGACAACACACAGGGCAGGGCAGAGGCAAGCGCCATTGTCAGCAGCATCACCAACAAAAACCACACCCATTGACAAAGCAACACATGTCTCCGTTTCCCCGTCACACCACACTGCTCCCTCCCTCCCCACCCCAAACCAACACAACACACATGCACCAAAGAGCACCACTGCGTACCGTGAATTGGTGGCAGTCGTGCACGCCAATGTAGCACCGCTTGTTGACAGAGCTCCACAGGCACACGTCCGTGGCCCGGCACTCGTCCTGTGCCAGCGGCGCACACCGGTCCCTGTCCGCCGTCGGCTGGCACGCTTGCTCAATCATGCACTTGTCGTCCTGTTCGCACTGCCCAGCCGTCAGCTGCCGGCACTCGTTTGTGTCGTAGCACCCTGTCTCGCACTCAACGACAGCCGCAAACTGCTTCTCCTCCTCAGCCGTCATCGTCGCTGTGCTGCGGCACTCCTTGATGCAGCTGTCTGCGCCGTTGTCGCACTCGCCCCGGCGCGCCTTGGCCAGCACGCACTGGAACGTCACGTTGCATCCGCCCGTGCAAAGGGAGATGACGTCCTTGCACACGTACTTCTCGCAGATTGAGGAACCGGGGCTCTGGCCGCCGTCGTCCGCGCTGCTGCAGTGCATGTGCCACTCGCACGAGTCCTGGCTGTCGCACTTGGTGGCGTCGCTGATGGCCGTGCAGCTGCGCAGGTGGCAGTGGCCGTTCACGTCCCACGCACACCCGTCCTCAGCCTCGCACAGGTCCTTGTCCGTGCCAGTGCACTTTCCGTTGGTTGTTGCGCAGTGCTCCGATGGGCGGCACCCGGCCGCGTCGCTGCACGCCTCCAGGTCGCCCTCAAACACGCTACAGTCAGCATCCACTGCCGTTCCAGCCGTTATGGAAAGGACGAGCACGGTCAGTGACACGGCGGACACCGTCAGTGCCCAGCA